AAATTCTGTTAATGTTAATTCTGTTAAAAGTAAAAGGAATTTGCTACTCTGGCATGAATAGGATGAATAAACCTTGCATTACTTTGAATGTAACTGGTTTCTCTAAGAGGAACTTAGTAAACAACAACAAAAAAACCTATCTGAAAACCACTGTTTCCAGCCTCAAAAAGGGATTGTTCCTGTAGGACCTTTATTTAGCTGACATATATTTTTCTAATCTCCTGGAACACACAGTTACTTCTTACAAACATTGTACAACACAGTACTCAGCAAGAGGCATAAATCAACAGGAATTGCTCAGTATTTGTCTAAAGTGTTCCAAAGCCAGTTATTCTTCATGAATGACTTGTGCTGATGTTTGAGTACCAGCCTTATAATCTGCCAAAGCCTATACTGCATTTTAACCCTTTCAAGTTTTATGTGAAATGAAAAACAGAATCCAAATTTTGATTTTTAAGTCTGACTAGTTCTTTGTAATATATGTTGCTGTCACTAAAAAGTCAAAATCTGACATAAATTAACAGACATATGGATATCTGAAACAGCAAAAGAAACTCAGACTCCGACTCAGTGCTTGCTAAAATACAGTAAATGTTGAGGTTTTAGAAGTGATTGAAAGAAATATATTTGTTGGGATATCAACAGAAATAGTTGTGGTAGCTGAGTGATTTGGAATTTCTTTCCACTAAACCACCTATTTCTTCATAAAATATTTTTTTCTCTCTAGAAAGAAGTTCTATAACTAATGTCTATCTACTTTAAAGTCTTTGAGAGTTTCATATATCCAAAATGTACAAAGATTTTCACACCCTGAGGAATATATATTTCAGTGAGATGCAATAGTGATTTAACATCCCAAACTGTTCATCTCATAGCTCTTGTGGAAGAAAAAAAGTACAAATCTAAATATTCAGGCAAAGGAATAAGGAAATCCATACAGTAAAAACGAACACTTTTGCAGAGAAGTATCATAGAGGAAAGTCTTGAAAGAACCAAAATACTTACCATAAATCCCATTGCCTACTACATCAGCAAGGCTTTCAGTTGGAAATAATTATATTGTACCAGTTCCCCATACAGGTCATGAGGGACACCATTTTTTACAGATATCCATTTTGATATTGAGCCATTAACTGCTACTCTTTGGACATGGTTATCCCAACAATTTCTCATCCAATGAATAGTCCATCCATCAAACCCATATCACTCCAATTTAGGAACTCAATTGTTGTGTGGGAATCATGTCCAAGGCCTTGCAAAAGTCATGGTAGACAACATTAGTTGCTTGGTGACCAATGCAGTCACTGCATCATAGAAGGATGATCAGATTAGTCAGGCACAATTTGCCTTTTTTGAAGCCGTGTTGGCTATTTCTAATCACTTTCCTGTCCCTCATGAGCTTTGACATACTTCCAGGAGGATCTTTCCCATGTTCTTATCAGGCAAAGAGGTGAATCTAACTGGTCAGTAGTATTCAGGGTCCTCCTTTCTTCCTTTTTTAAAAATGGGCATGATATTTATTTTTTACAGTTACTGGTGACCTTCCTGACTGCTGCTTTGAATACAGTGGTGAGTGGCTTAGCAACTGTACCGGCCAGCTCCCTCCAGATCCTGGGATACATCTCCTCAGGTCTTATGGACTGGATTAAAAATACACAAATGAAATGCAGATAAAATAAATATACCTATTAAAATACATAAACCATTTAAGAGTTATTTTTAATGTCTTTTGAAAATGAATGTGCTGATTGAAAAATAAGAGCAGTATTGCTGCAAATATGTATTTCAGGCCCACATTATACCATGAAATAGCCTTATTTTGGAAATTTCTGAATGCATAGGACTTCCAGAGACTGCCAGTTATATGAGAAACTCAAAAAAAAAATTCAGTCGAGCTTGTAGAATCTCTGGAATTTCCTTGAAAATTAGTAGAGCTCCTTAGATGCTTATTTATGGGTTTAAATTTGTTCAGAGTCTATCTTTTGACCTTAGTGCTGTGTTTGAGACCCCACTGAAAATTAGTTACCTAGAGAAGAGTGGCACTCATGGCCTGATCCATCCATGACATTTTGCTACTGTCTATGTGTCAAATTTAATGGCTTGTGACTGGTCAATTAAAGTTAAGGAACTCAAGGTTTGTATGACAGATTGGTTGTTTATGAAGTGAATTTATATGTGTACATAATGTAATAATTTGCATAGTTAATTTATTGTTGTTGTGAGCATTACATTTGCTTGTGTAAATTATACCAGTTTGCTGTTCAGATAAAAATGGATATTGATGGATTTGTTTTGACTATGCACAGGTTGGCTTTGACTAGGAATTCATCTGGATGCAATTCTTCGCTGTCTGGTGTCAGATGGCAGAGCACATCTGCAACTCAGATCTGGGGATCAAAGTCAGTGAAAGCAGGCAAAGCTGCTGAGGTCTTGGTACTAGCAGAGTTCAAACTTCTCTGCACTGCTTGGGAAGAATGAGCAAGAGAGAGGTTTGACTGACCTCTGCCACAACTCAGTGCTCAGGGCTGTCACCAATAGATGTTGGGCAGTTAGTGTGGGTGTATATTCATTCAAGTTTTATAAATACGTATTTCAGGTAAAAGAGTTTCCTCAGAAAATGTTTAAAGAAGTGTAGGCCAAAACACTGATGATTAGTCCAATTTCCTAGAATGTGGGAAATTGAAATTTAAGTGTCTTTTACAAAGGATAATTTTAAAATTACAGTCTGTTTTTGTTCTGTAGTCATCATAATCATGATATCATTGGACAAACAGAGGAATGCATCTTTACATTTTGTTTTCTTTCTTTTATTCCTGTCATATATCTATCTAAATTTATATATTTAATGTTGATATGGGATTATTCGTTTTTCTGTTGAAGAATTAGGCTTCTGTGTTCCTTTTAGGTGTACTTTTCAGTATTTATATTTAGATCTCTTAGATAATTATTTACTTAACTTAGCTCAGGTATTTATGAATTATTTCCTGAGCCTATATGAACTTCTGAGAGACCTATAAATCTCTTCTGAAGTAAAGGAGAGATGGTGGGGGATAGTTTTGGAAAAATGGGAAGAAGAATTGGTAGATTTTTAATGATGTTGGTTTACAATTAGCACAAACTAAATTAACTCTGCCTGCTGCTGAAAGGGACTTTTCACTGTTCTCATTCTTGTATCAGCACTTGCAATCAGGGGAGTCAGATAATTTATCTTTGGTGTTGGTTATTGTTTTCCCCCATAATTAGTTTCCAATCATAGCTAATCTTGACATGCTGTAGGGCCCCGTGATTTTAGCATTGGCTGAAGGGAGGCAACAAAAACTTTAGCTAAGAAAGTTAAGGATGATGTTTTGCATAAAAAAAACCAACTTTATTTTAGCTGAAAGAAATAATGAATTCATACCCTAGGATGTACACATGATTTCTCTTTCATGTCCAAATAACTCTAGCTAAGCCCAAAATTCTAATCTGTGTACAAGAAGAGTGCATCCTGTTCACTTGAGACACAGTTCAATGTTCTCAAGTCCTTGTTATTCCTTTGTTATAGGTGTAATGAAATATACATTGGTCATCACCTTGAGGCTACTCAGAGAATGAAGCAATACATTGTGTGGATCATGCTTGTTAACTGCAGTTTTCATGTTGTGACTGCATCACATCACTTTCTGAGAAGTAATGGCTTTCAAAAAGCTTCTGCAGGCTATGCAGGGTCTTTGCGTTAACCTGTAATATACCTATTATGTCTCAGCTCCTCTGTTTTGCTCACTCTCTCATGAATATAATCTTGCAGACTATGCCAGTGGCAACTTCTGAGCTGGTGTTTCTCTTTTAAAGTGGGAGGCAATTGCTGGCAGGATGTAATCTGTTGGATTTCATTCCTTACTGTGACTCATTAAAGCGTACATTACCTTCTGTGAATGCTAGAAAGGCTAACCCTTCCTCCACATGCCCTTTTAAAAAAATTAAAAATATTTGCTAGTGACTATCTGGCAAGTAAGGCAAGGTAAACAGACATTTCTAACTCATCTTGCTGTACATTTTAATTAACCATATTGTGCCAGACAGATGAGGGTCTGGAAAAATTATCACTTGCATGAAAAAAATACATAGTCTATTTGCTTTAGATGAAGAAACAACAATTAGATTTGGCTATTTTTTTCTGTAATAAAATTATATTATATATGTTTAAATATAAACCTGTTTGTTTTACAATATTTTTTGCTCTTATTCATACAAATGCAAATAGACAGTAACTTCTGTGGAGAGAGAGTGATAGGTAAGAATCTGCCTATATGAATTAAACTTGAGTACATTTCCTAATGCATTTAAATAAATGATTATATCACACATGTCAACAAAAACAGTCTATTGCACTTCAGGCAAATGAAATGCTAAGTACTGCAAAGTGACATTTCAAAAAGGAACCTTCAAAAGGCTACAGTCAATTTTATAGATTATTTAACTTTGCAAAAACCAAAAAATTATTATATAAATTTTAAAAAGCTGCAGATTTTAATAAGCTTTCACTAATCTTCTCCTTACTGTTTTTTAAAGTTTATCTCTTTAATTGAAATAATTAAATATAAAAATGCTTAAAAAATGAATGAAAAAACATGGTTGTTTCAAACTATATGTGGGATTTTCAGTATTACATGGTAGAGGCTTTTCACAGAACTTTCTTTTAATGCTTATTATTTTTATTATTATTAAACAAACATCTGACCAACCAAAACATTAATAAATGTACAAAAATACATAACAATTATATAAAAAACCATTCAATGAAGAGTCTATAGGATTTAATTCTGGGACCACTATAATTTTTCATCACACTTGCTAAATATTATAAACACTCCCTAAGCTCAAAAGGAGAGAGTTGTTTAAATTAACCATATGGTATTTTTATAAAATAACAACAAAATACCACCTGTCAACAAGGTACCAAAATTTTATTTAAAATTTGTAAGGAATTTAGAGAAGCATAGAGAAATATGTATAAATACCTGACTGGAGAGTAAAGAAGGTGGAGACAAACTCTTCTCAGTGGTATTCTGTGACAGGGCAAGAGGCAATGGGCACAAACTGAAACACAAGAAAGTCCATTGGAATGAAGAGGGTACATTTTCACTGTAAGATTGGTTGAGCACTGGAACAGGTTGCTCAGGAATATGCCACAGAGTCCTCATACTTGGAGATATTTAAAACCCAACTAAGCAAGCTGCTCTAGTCGACCCTATTTTTAGCATGAGTGTATTGAACTACAGAGTCTCCATAGAACTTCTTGGGTTTCTTCTATTCTGTGTTGCTGTGCCTTTTTTCTCTCTGCTTCCATAAAGGGACATTATGTGTGACCATCATTCAAGATAGATGCAGAAATTTTCACTGAAGATTTAGGGAGCAATTTTCCAAAGCATGAAATGTTTCCACTTTCCACCATTTACCTCACCAATGCACAGCTAAACACATTAAGGAAATATACTCAGTTATAGTCACAAACCCATCCACTGATGCCAGCAGCTCTGCAGTGTAACTTTCTCATGTTCATTTACTTAACACTAATTTAATTGGTTTTGTATATGATTGAATTTCTTTTTTTTCACTTTAAATATCATATTTTCAATAGCCTAGTTCTACCACAATTTTAATACAGGAAAAAAAGGAATATCCAAATGCACTGCCCATAATGAGCATCATGAAATGTCACAGCATGTTTTAATAGAGAGATGTTTTACTGCAATAACAACAGATATTCTAAAATCATATTTTTAATTTAATTTACTTTTAAATATATATATATTTAAAAGTAAATAAATAAATATATATATATATATATATATATATAAACTAACAACAACACAATCCCTAAAAATGTCAGGCAATCTCAGAAAACTTTGAAAAGTCTGCTGGACAAAGAAGCAGAAGAAAAAGATCTTTTGGATGTTCACAATCCACTAAAAGCTGAAGGTGAGAAAGCTTTATGGTGAAATATCATCATATTTCTGCCTTTCATAGAATTCTCCAACTGATCTCAGTGGTCATTGTCAGAGATATTATATTGTTCCCTATGGACATAACATTGGATGTGCTGCAGTCTTTATATCTCGCATAACTGATATATCATTTTAAGCCAAAAAGCTTATGTCTTGTACTGATAAATAAAGTCCTAAATATCTACTCTTTCTTTACACTATTGTGTTCAACTATTTTCCAAACACTTAGCTTTCAGTTCCTGGGTCTGATCTTAGAGTTTGCTGAATATAAATTCTTAATATACTAGCTTACTGGCAAAAATAATTAAATTAATGATATGTTTTCTTAAGACCTCTGCCAGCTATCTTTTGTGATCCTGAAGGTAAAAAGGATGGTTGAGTATGTACAATCTCTGAAAGTCCATATAGTTCACACCTTACTGATGCCAGAATGAACTTACATAGGTCGCCAGTCGCAATAGATTCCTCATCTCTGAAATTATTTGAAACAAAGGATATATGGACAGGTTGTAAATAAAAAGCTCATCAGAATAATTTATGTTCATATTTGTAAAATAAAAGTGCACCTAGAAATTTTCAAAGTGAATAATGCAGCACAACACAGGAGCTATTTCTGAATAAAACATTGAATTTGAATTATTTTATAACTCCTAAGATGACTTAGTACTCCTAATTATTCAGAAAAAATAAAGTATGGAAAAAAGAAAATTATTCATGACTATGTAACTTAAAAAGAGGAAATTCTAAGGTCAAAAATCTTGAGATTATCAGAAATACAAATCTATTATCAGAAATACAAATCTATTATCAGAAATACTAATCTAGAGTTTTTTTAAACACATAAACTGCTGATTCCACAATTATTCATATTCTCAGGACAACTTTATTCTGTGGCAGAGTTAAATTTTGTTTCTTGAAGTCAATCATGAGAATGTAATTATATATAACTGTAGGGAAAAAAAAATTTAGGTTATATAAGACTTTTTTTAATCTGATTTGGAGATTAGAGTTCATATGGTCTATAATTTGTCAAGAGTACAAAACTTACTAATTACAATCATAGAATTGAAACTGTGATTGTAAAAGGAGGAGACAGAAAATAAAATGTAATTCAGCTCTAAATGACTATTCCTGAGATGCCAGCATACAACTTCCATCTTTCCCAATAAATTTTCTGTGCACAGAATAAGATAAACTATTATCCCTAATGATTAATTTCTTACTATAGTCCACAGATTAGAAGACATGGAAGAGGAGATGGGATGGATAAATCATTCTGTCTGGTTAGTAAAAATTTAATGTCTATTTGCATATCTAAATCTATGATCCCAGCACTGTAAGACTATATCAAAAGCTTCCATTTAACTCACATACATATCTGTTACTAGAAACCTGAAAATTCAAGGCAAGTTGTGAGGAAGGTCATGTTTGGTTAGACAGACTTTCAATTAAAAGTACTTAATATATCCTTAATTCACCAAATCCACTCAAATAATAGTTTAAATAAGGCTGTTTCAAAATCTGCTTCTCTTCTGCATTATCTGTATGAAAAAGAATCCCATAAAATTCTCAGAGTGTGGGCTATCTAGTTCTGTCTTTTATTTTTTCCCATAGAGGTTATTGATTAAGCAAAAATGGCATATTAAAGGATTAATTAATACTTTAAATTATAGCTCTGCAGCCCAAAAAATACATCATCGATATGGGTAATAAAAGACCCTGGCTTTTTCCACCATTGAAGCCTGAAGAACTGTGTAGATTTGGCATGAACTAAGTTTAGGTTGTTTAAGCTGTCATAATAATTGCTTAATAATTGGTAATGATTGAGTGTCTTGGGAGTTTGGTTATATTCATGAATCTGATATATGATAAATGTTTAACAAATCTGTGCAGAGGATCAGTGAAGAAAGAGCAAGACTGCATTAGCAAATATATGAAAGTCACACTAAGCAGATCAAAGACAGAGAAGGAAGAATTCTCTCTCCATCAAACCTGCTGTCTCTCAGTGAAGAATATCTGTCATTACCAACCCTTTGGAACGCCCATTATCCATCTGAAGTAAGGTGGGTATCATCAGCCTCAGGACTTAGGCAGTGTTAGATTGAATATAGCACCTGAGAAATAAGGGTAAATAGAGGAAAAGGGACTTTTCTTTATGACAGTGATAAACTGCTGAAAGGGACATTAGTTCATTCATTATATAATTAGCATTAGTTTTACAGTAGCTTCATTGATACTCATGTGACACCATCCCCTTTTACCCATAGTATAATTTGAGTGCAATATTATAGGCAGGAAATTAAAGCACTGTGTCAATACTGAATGTTGTAATTTGACACACTGGATTACCCAGGTAAATTCTTTACCTAAAAAGATTTTGTTTGTGAACCTGATGGCATTATTTTTTCCTTTTTATCCAGAGCTATATAAAAATTTATTTATAACTAAACACTCAGGATCATATTTATCTAGAAGCATAAGAGTAATAGTGCCCTAACCACCAGACCTCCTTCTTTAAACATAACTCTTGTAAATATCTTATTTGCCTTTTCTTTTTATCTGCAAGTATATTAATATTTCTTTTATTATATTAATCACCTGTATTACACTGATTCAACTTTGTCTTGGTGTATACGGACGAAACATGTTACACAGAAGTAAACCATTTATACTGGATATATTCCCAAATTTTTATTGACTTTGTTAAGCACACATTTGGAAATATAAACATGAATAAGTTTTAATTAATATTAACCTCACTTTTTTTTTCTTTTAGCTCAGTGTAAACCAGTGCTTGTCTTTCAGTACTGTGTTTAATGTAAGGTCTGCTATTTAGCAAGAGTTACTGCAATTATTTTAATACATTTATATTGTGTTCTATGGTTCCATTGTGCCTATGCATTATATGTATTTTTATTGCATAGGTTTGATTCTAGTCCACATTTGGAATGATTTTCATACAATTCCAGGGTCACAGAGATGGGAAGAAAATTATAGAAACCCTACAGCTTGGGAAGAAAATTATAGAAACCCTACAGCTTAGTGGTTGTTTGCTTTTTTTCCTTCCCCTCAAATTTAGTAAAAAGCTTATTCAGATTGGTTTGGAGCTCTTTGTGAATATTTTAAGCTTACTGATCCTGTTCTCTTTTTCACTCTCCAAGGATGTTTTATGCTTACTTTTGTAATTGACAAGGTGACTATGTTTAATTAACAAGGTTCTTTGATTCTGTTAATCTTACAATTTGAAGCTAGAAATATGTTTGCTTCTCTTTGGAGACTCAACATTTAGTGTCAAATTAATGAAGACTAAAGACCTACTGATAATAATTATTGCTTATTTAAGAACATTTGCAAGTAGATAATTTCCAAATTCTTGTTCTAATTTCCGCCCAGGATGTGAGGGGGCACAGTCTGAAGCCATGTGTGTGTGTCTATGTTGTTATTCTGTACCGCGTACGTCATTCCTGGGCACAGAAGTAGGGCATTCTCACCTCTGAGAAGAAGGGCTCCAGAGACATCTTGTCCTTTTCCAGGGAGCAAGCAGTGAATGGAGCCATGGGGTAATGCTGGTCCCGACTGCAGGGTTTGTCTGCAATTGTTTTTCTATGTCTCAGGCTTGGGGAAAAAATATTCACAGAGGGTCCGGTGGCCATTCTGTCCTTTGTCTCTTTGACTAGCCGTGGTCACATCAGGTCACACTTGGTGAGCATTTTGCATGCAATCACTCTCTTTTACACACTGTTGTTATTTACATTGTTGCTGTTATTACTTGTTTTCTGATCTCATTGCTGTTTCTAGTAAATTGTTATCTCAAACCTCAATATCTCTACCTCATAATATCTCTGTCTATTGTCTCTCTTGCCTGAAGGGGTAGAAGGAGGGCTTAATTTTCAGCTGGACATTTTTCCATAACTCATTGCTTTTATTGGCTTTTTTAATAGGTGCTTTTAGTACTCAGAGAATTGGGTTTTTATTTATCCTTAAAGTCAGTATATCAATTGAGAAGTGAAAATAAAACATTGGCATTTTTTGTAAAAATTCTTTGCAATTTCAAATTTCCAGGGAAAAACACAGTCAATTTATATTAAATTTCTGGGAAAGAAATATTAATTTCATATGGGTTTGAACTGGGTTTTTTGTACCCAAGGTCAAA